CCCCCCCCCCCCCCCCCCCCCCCGCGTGCCACACCCGGATGTACTTGGCCGTCCACAGTCCTCACCCCATTCAACGCTCAAACGCTCTGCAGCCTTGCGAGAGCACTTGTGTGTCGAGGAGTTGCAGGTGTGCTGTCCGGCTCTGCATTATGGCAAGTCGTGCCGGCGCTGTCCGACCGATGACACCGACCCCGAAGGCGTGTGCGGAGGACGTGGCGAGTGCAGTGGCGATGGCAAGCGAACGGGAAACGGCAAATGCAAGTGTCGGGATAATCGCCGTGGTGCCACCTGCGAGCTCTGCCCCTTTCACCAGTTTGCGCAAGCGGATGGTCAGTGCCACCCCTGCCATCTGGCTTGTGCAGATACGTGCACTGGTCCCGATGAGACAGAGTGCGACGCTTGCGCTGCTGGCTACGAACGAGCTGCAAATAATGCCTGCGTCGACGTGGACGAGTGCGCACAGGATGACACCCTCTGCGCCAATCAAGAGGGTGTCTTTTGCCGCAATGATCCAGGCTCATACACATGTGCCCCTTGTCACTCGGCTTGTGACCGTGTCGCGGGCTGCAATGGCCCCACACCTGGCGATTGCAAATCTTGTGCTCAGGGCTTTGAGCGCGCAGAGAATGGACAATGCATTGATGTGGACGAGTGTGCCACTGGGGCCACCACTTGCAGCGAAGGCCAGTACTGCCACAACACGCCCGGATCGGCACGCTGTGATACCTGCCACTCTGCGTGCGACCCAGTGCAAGGTATGGGCCATGGGATCGCGCCTCAAGTGACGACTCTTGCGTGTGCGGGAGGTGGGGCCTACACTCACGGTGGTGCACAAACTTGGCGGTAACTAGGCTGCACGTCGGGCTCCAGCCGCGCCTGCCGCGCTTGTGCAGCAGGCTACCGCTTGCTAGAGGGCGACTGTGTGGACATTGATGAGTGCGCCCACAACCGCGAGAGTTGTCACCACGGCTACCAATGCCGCAACCGGGCGGGTAGCTTTGCGTGCGTCTGCCCCTCCGAGAAGGTTGGAGCTCAACGACACCAAAGCCGGTCGGCCAAAAGCAATGTTCAAAACATTCCGCAAGCATCTTATCACGTTGTTGTTGTTGTTGTTTTGTCTCTCTTTCTTCTTTTCGTGATCATAGACTGAGTTGGACGGACAATGCCTGTACAACGCCACGGCCGAGGAGCTCTTGCGTGCCGCCACCTTCTTGCCAACTCAGCGTGCGGTCATGGGGGCTCCAGTGGCCTATCCCGAAACTGACAGTGGCCGCGTTGTGCTGGGTGTGTACATGCCTGCACAGCGTGTTTCCTTTTTGAAACCGATCATGCACAAGAGCACACACTCACCAAGTTACGCATGTCCCGGGTATGCTTCCTGGCAGGCGAGGTTGTGGTGCCAGCCTCAGATGTGCGGGAAAGCTTTGTAACTGCACCTTGGCCTCAACTTGACCAACTGGACTTGAGTCCAGCCCAAAAGGCTGGGGCGCGCTTGCTGGGTGCGCATCTCACCAAGGAGTGCTGTCAGGACGAGGTGCGACCGTCTCGACGACCATGGTTCAGTGGGCAAAAATGTGCGTGCTCAGACCCCTTGAACTGATCGCCGTTTGGCGATGTGGGACCATCTAGTTTGCGGTGGCCATGGCCGGCCCAACGGACGCTGCCTGGACATTAATTGTCCAGCGAGCTGACCAAGTGGCTGGTTGGGATCAAGAACTGACAATCAAGTACTTTTTGGCCATTGACGATGCCCGGACGCAGGAGCAAGGTGTGAGGCTCAGCTGCGGCCATTGGAAAGAGATAAGCGGCTTCTGTGAGTTGCGCGGCGCGTGGTCTGACCCAGCACTGCTTTGTTCTTGCGATGAGTAGATGGATCCAAAGACGAACTATAGACGTTGTTGATGGATGGCCATGGCAGAGTGATAAGGGCTTTGGTACACATTCCGATGAGAGAATCAATTGTAGAAATTCTGCCCACTGCGGCACAAGAAGCGAGAGCGTTGAAACACGGCAGTAAGGCAGTCTTGGGCGCATGGCGCCTCCAACTCGCTTTGTCCCACTCTCGGGATGGCGAGCTCTCCTGTGCTTCGTGCCGTGTTCATGATGCCACTTGGAGATATAAAAGCAGGTCGTAATCATGGCTGTAGTAAACTACTTTTTGACGCGCTTCAGGAATTCAGCTTCTTCGGGCGAACCACGCACGAGGACAATGAAGATGGGCATGCTGGCATACACAACGTGGGTGGGTTGTTGAAGAATTTGCAGCAGCTGTGGGTCATCGTCACAAGGCAGGTATCAGGGCGTCGCGAAACCAGCGAGTTTTGGATCGAAGCTCGGGCGATACCAGCGTTGTCGGCAAGATCAAGGAACGAACCGGCATGTCCAGGTCAACAGGGATCATCTTGACTTCATTGCGGGAGATGTCCTGGGACAGCAGTGGTGGGGTGTGGATGAGCGCAGTCGATGGGAGCATGGACGTCAATGAAAGTTTTTTTGTTTTCCAAACAAGTCAACGTACGACAATGTGTTCATAGTACGCGACGAGATTGCTGGCCTTGTACTTGTTGTGTACATCCCATGGAACAACGGGCTCGGCTTGATCGGGAAACATGTGCTAAACAAGCAATAGTACAGGGTGGTCAAGGAGGCCGATTGCGGGCAAAGCGAGGCATGGTGGGCATGGTGGGCGCACCTCGAGATGGGGACGGAGACTGTCGAGTTCACAGAAGGATTCGATAAAATCAGTCTGCGCGTGCTCAGGGTAGGCCAGGAGCACGGGCCAATGCATCACGCCGTCATCGTCAACGGCGGGGCCCTTCCCATCGGTTTCGTGGACCATGGCTGATTGATCGGCATCATCCTCGCCGGTGTGCCGCTTGGCAGCGGCATCCCACCACTCGGTAGGACGCGTCCGTGCTGTGCGAACACCGCGGGCCTGGTGTTGGAGTGCCAAGACGAGGAGAGAAGATGAGACATGGAAAGGGCGAAGGGCAAGGCTGGTGCTAGAGTCTGGGCCACGCGAGCAAGAGAAGCCAACACACACACACACACCGTCACGGCTTTATCAAGCTTGGCACGAGCAGCGGCACGCTTGCGCTCCAGAGCAGCACGGCGGCGCTCTTCCTTGGCTTGCGCGGCGGCGTCGCGGGTGGCTTGCTGACGGAGGTTGTTGAGTTCCTGGTTATCGCTTTCAAGCAAAAGACCGCGATCGCACCAGGACACACACATGTCATACTTGGAGATACGATGACAGGCTTTGGCAGCCCTGGGTCGAGGAGCAAACATGGCGCGAAACAGGCGTGCGGCATATACGATGATGTGAGTCTGGTTCGGACGCCGACTTGGGGAAAGCAGCACGGATGAGGAGCAAAGTTCGAGGGGACGGAACGAACCGGAAGTAGGCCTTTTTGTTCTTGCGATTGAGCATGACGGCCTGCGAACAGTCTCCAATGACTTGTCGGCAGTTGCCGAGCATGAGATTGGCTGCGGCGCGATTGCTGAGCAGGGTGGAATCGACGTGGGCATCGCGGCATTGCTACGGACAAGTCGAGGGACAACAGCGTGTCAGGCAAAGGCGTGGAAGATGAAAAGGAGGGAGTGGGGCGGGTTGACATGGTTGTTGGGTGGGCAAACACGCGTACCTCGCGCAGTCCCTCGGTGTAGCATTCAACGGCCTTTTTGAGGTGTGATTTTCGAAGCTTGATGTTGTTGGTGGCAGCCAGGGCCTTTTTGTACGCATCATTGCCATGCGTTTTGTGATAATCGGCGCGTGCTGATACAAGCGGCAGGAAGAGTGAGACGAACAAGAGCCCATGATCAGGGATGCCAGGCGCTGTGCACGACGCACCAACGGGGTCCAGATCTTCCTCAAAGGCCTTTTGCATGGCGACGAGGTGGGGATTGGTCACAAATTCC